GCAGTTGCCCAGCGAGATCCCTGCTTCGGTGGCAGCACAATGCCAAGGCCTACAGCTCTGGGGACCTGGGGCAGCCCCAGCAGGATCCTGAACCCCCCTGGGACTCCCATGGCACCCAGGGTCCCCTCCAGCTCTGGGAGCACTGGTGGGTGACAGGACTGCCAAAGCCCACTGCAGCACACGGTTCTTTTAAACTAAACTTTTTAGCTGCCTGCTGCAGGGCAAGGCTGAGTTTTCCAAGATTTCCAGGTCAAGCCCCAAGAGCTGGGCTTGATGGGAGGTCCGAGCCCCCCCTCCTTCCCACGCAGCCCCAGTGGGTCCCCGTGAGGCCCGTTGGTGGCACTTACCGCCCGGCTCTCAGGGGGATGCTCTCCTCATGGCCCCAGCTCCTCGCTGCAGGGTCCCCTGGGGGCAGCAGGCTCTGGGGGAGGGAAATACAAGCGGGATGAAGCTCAGGGAGGAAGAGCAAGGTTGTTCCTCCCCAAAACCAGCCTGACCCCACTTCCTCTGTATTTTTTAGCAGCCCAGCCTTCTCTCCTGCCCCAGGACCTCCCGGTGGGCAGCTCTGCCTGCACCAGTAGCGACAGGAATGGATGGCTCCACGCGGGCACGTGTTTTGCCCAGCTTAGCCCCAAAAACCATCCCCAGCCCCATCCTCTTATGCAATTCCCTGCCAGCGGGCACTGGAGCCAGCCCAGCAGCCACCTCGCCCTTGACTTTGATTTGCTCTGGATCTGGCCATATGCTCCACAAAAGCCTCCTCCCGCCACCCTGCCTCTCCAGCACGAGCAAAGGGGTTTTTATTTCCCAGCCGCAGGCCCGGCAGCGAGCTCGGCCTGTTCTGCTTTGCAAATCAGAGCAAGGTTCTGCCAGCACGGGTCCTGCTGGGGAATCTTTATGGCTGAGGATGAAAGCAAGAGAGAACAAACACCCAGCGTGAGCGCCCGGCGCCACGCGCGAGCCGGAGCCTGGGAAAAAAAAAAAATATGAAATAAAGTGGTCTTCCTGCTT